AAATAATGACTAGTTAATATGACTATCATAATTCTGAATTAACTTATTAGCATCTGAGTGACAGTATGATTATATCAGTTAATAGCTTGAATACATTTTGTAAAAAAATGTGTCACTGATCTGTCTTTTGTGTTACATTAGGCACAATGAAACAATCACAGCTGAGTAACAATACATAGAAAAAATAGGTATCAATAACTACAACCTAACCCATATGTATCATGAGACTACATTTTTAAAATGCAATTTACTAATGTGTCATGTGTATAAATAGCATAAACATTCTTCTGAAGAACTAATCTTCTCTATGCACTTTTTATGTAAATATTAAATATCAACTCATGAGTACATGAAAAACTTGCCATTTACAAGTTACAGAAACATGTATCTATAAGGCTGAATGTAACAAAATTATCATAGCAGAAGAACAGTGTTTTAGCACCTTACTAACACTTGAATCCTTGAATCCTTACAGTATGTATAAATAAAAATACTGCGAAGTTATCTTATCATATCACTGGTTCTTAGAACAATTACGAAAGTAAATGACAGGACTAGATTTTTTTTTATCTTATAACCTAAAAGTTGAAAGGCACTATAACAAAGCAACTATGTTCTAGACATACAGGAATACAAGGACAAATAATTACCAAATTGATATGCATCCAACACAAACTTGTCATCATTCAGATAATTCACAAAAAGCCTTACAAACATCTACCAAAAATTTGAAAAAGTTCTCTTGCTGAAGCCTATGAACCTACTGCCAATGGTGCTGTTAATATCAATGGGGTACCTAAGCTAATTCTGAATGATATTGTAACATATTCTATGTTTGTCTTGGAACCTGAGTGACCTGGAAGGAATAATTGAACAATGTTTTTGACAGGTTGAATGAATTTTTTTTTTGTGAACTGCTTTTACATTATTATCTAATGGGTAATTACAGACCAAGTGTCCAATTTGCAATGTGAAAAATATGAAAATGAAACTAGAGAGTGAACACTTTGGATGTGGTGATAACACATGCACACACACTACCACTTACATTATACGATTATGTGTCAGTTTATTATAGCAGTGTCAAGTTTTACGTCTTCATTGTTCATCCTGTGTTTTTTGTTTTGTCTGCTGTTGGAATCTCAAATATAAGTACATCTTGCATATCTTAAGGTTTTATCTAATTTCAGTTCTGTTTTAGATCATCTTACAGTCATGGCTACTGAAGAAATTATTTGTTGTTTATAATGTATGGCATACATATGTTGTCAGAAATATACCCAGGATATTTTCCGTGGAAAATGGAGTATACCCTTCAGATGCATATGGAATTATGAAGCCATTGTCAATGAAGAGAAAAACTTGCTCTTATGATATGTAGCATAAAAGATACTGTTGGTTAACTCATTCACACCAGGATGACTTCCTATCATGTCTTGCTAGACCACCTCTCATGCTGGGATGACGTCTTTGTATCATGCGCTGTACCGCTAGCTCTAAATTGTGCATGCTATACAATTGTGGGCTTGTTTGACCCTGGCTGCATTTGTTGAATAGAAATAGCCACACAAAAGTAGGCTTAACCCTTCTTTTTAGCCTTATTACCTAAAAAATATCAATGCTGCAGCCACGAACAGAGAGAGTAGGGTAATTTTGTTTCCCATGCTTCTGATATTTCCCAAACTCCACAGACTCAAGATACACTGTTTGGTATGGGATGCACTGGGGGCTCCCATCCTAATTGGGTTAGAAAGATATTGCTACCAATATGTCCATACATTGCGGCTATTTAGCAGCCAGTGGCATTGTTGGCTTTCAGGCATGATCAAGAAGAAGAAGACGAGGAATTAGTAGAACAAGAAGACGAAGAAGTAGAAGAAAACGAAGAAGATGGAGGTAAAGATGGATGAAAGGGAACTGAAAGACCATTCATCATTTGAAAAACTACTTCCTATTGACTACCTACAATAAAGTGCAGCTAAAAACATGTTTTTTTTAATAAGCTAACCTACATAGGGCATAACGACAAATACAAAACTAGCATCATAGCAGTACCAGTTCCTGAGACAGTCTAATATCTATGATGCATGTATTTGCCAAGCTTCATAAACTAAAACATTAAAGTACTTGCAACTGCTGTTACAAACACTTACCAATGATAAGGCAATGATAACCTAATGAGAGGTGATCGCTCATAACCAAAAGCAAAATGCTGAAGTTCATGATACAACTGACTTCTACTTGTAAAATGAAAGATAGCAGCAGGTACTTGGACAAAGACATTTTGCTTTTACATACATTTCCTTAACCTAGGTTCACTGATGAATAAAGACTAGTAAATTTTTTTTACCCCTAATATATCAAATAACCCAGGAATAAAAACATAATCTGTCTTAATTGAATGCCATTAGATGGTCATTAGCTCTCAACCAAGATCCTTCATCTATATTTTTACTGCCCACTGTCCTCCTTGTTCCACATCCAGGTCAATTTTTGTGGAGTTTTTTCTTTTTCCTCTTTCTTCTGGACCTTCTGCTTCTTTGCTGTTTGATGCTTTCACTTTCTGTGCTTCTCTGTCCATTTTAATTACATCATTGTAAGAAGGAGGATCTGTGAAAAGACAAATGCAAATTCATTAAAGAGCACCATAAAACTTTAGTTTAGTCATTCTTAATGGGAACTTTTTATCATCATCTTTTATATGGTTAATAAAGCCTTTATCATTCCCAAAACATCAGAATCATTAATGTCATTATTATCACTATTAATGTAATTTCAACAATATTGTAATTACTATGGCATTAACATTATCACCACATTCACAATGATCCATTTTTGTCAAAATAATATTACAATCTCTGTTTTAATTAATATATCATGACCACTAAAACTGCTATTACATATATAATTAGTTAAATCAATCTGTTCACTGGACCTGACAGAAAGAAAGGAAAGTAGTACACTTACTGTCTGTGTGGATGATTGAGATGCCAGATGGCATGGGTGGGGGACCTAGAATAGACACAAAAAATCAGTCTGTAATTTCTGAACTTAAGTACTTGTCATTACTCATAAGAATATTAATAGAAAATGAAAGTGTTGCTTTAATCTACAACGATCATTGCAATAACAGGATTCCTATCACTACTTTGTTAAAAATCTGGCTGAATGGCAGGTGACAGGATTGTGTTGTCATGGAAAGACATGGCAGAGGGCTGGGGGGATGGGAAGGTGTCGTCACGAGATACTGTTACAGAATAGTGAGTGACAGGGACATCTTTACCATGAGTGCACAAAGCCCTTGTAGCGAGATTGGGAAAGGCATTATTTCTAATGGTTAACAAGGGTGGAATGTACCATCTGTGAGCCATGCCTGGAAGAGCACTGGCTTCACTGAGGACACTATTTCCACGTGCAGGAACCTATTCCTGTCCACCTTCACTGACAGCACAGGGGTGTTAAGTTATGATGAACATTAAAGTATAAAAAATATAAAACAATAACACATGGTTACTTCTTCTTATTACACAGAATTATAGAGATTATATGGAGTCTGCTCAGTAAAAATGGCCTATCACCATCTTGACAGCAGCATGACAAATGACTGATATAAATCTCAGGAAATGGCAAAACAGTAAAAAAAATGTGTACGCAGAATATGAGCTAATAGCGTAGCAAAGAGGAGGCATGGAGTCTTGATACAGTGCATGAGTGTCCTTGTGAGCTGAGCTGATGAGACACACACCTAGGAGAGTCACCACCCAAGTAAGCCTAATGTCTGATTTTGGTCTAAGTGTGATCCATGAGGCACTTGAAACCAACAGGCTAATCAAGCATAATGCAGAAGGAATTGGAGCTTGGGATTAAGCAAGAAATAGAAGGTATAATTTCATGAATAAAATCAAACATGGATTAGCTCTGAAGTGCAGCAATATCTGCACAAATGAAGTGGAGGATATATATACATATACATATTGGCATTCACCCTGTCCCTATGCTCCTATAATGATCATCATGTCATGATCCAAATCTGTTACAATGACTAAAATAATACACAGTGGTGACAAATTATGATCAGATTTATTTCTGGGCTGACCTGTTTTTGTAAGGGCATCATAAGGGGGAGGAGCATCCCAAGCAGTCTCCCGCGGGTGTTCAGCAGAATTTTCTCTTGGTGGAGGAGGTGGAGGTTCATCCCTCATGTGTGGATGTAGTGTCCCATTGTACTTGTATCTTAAAAAGACAGTAGACATATTAACAAACTTGACATGCACTCTGTATTTGATCTAGTTTAAGCATTTACATTTTTCTTATCTATTATATGCTGATTTGACATGATGTTAGAGGGGTATAACTGAAAAACATAAAATATCTTGTCCTGGACCCTCTCGCGCCAAGATTTCTGACTTGCACTGTATGCACACTTACCAAGTGTGTATAGATAATAAACATAACTACCACTGTTGACATATATCAACAGTGGCAAACTTACTTTCTGCAGAGCTTAGCAATCTGATGATGCCAAAAGATGAATATAAGTATTGCTCCTATAATTCCAAAAACTGTTGGCCAGACTGGAAAGTATTGAGATCCACAATCGCATGATCCATGGCCAGTGATGTCTTGACTCTTGCACTGACTGAAATTTCAAAGTTAAATTAGAATTTCTATTACAAATAGATAGCAACAAAAGAAGAAATAAAATATGCAAAAAATTAGATATAAGTGAAAAGCCTGTATGCAACTCCATTTTCCAAGCCTATGATGTATATCAGTGCACATAATTTGCTCTAAACAAAAACTTAGCCTTCGAATCATGCACTGCTTCTTTTATTTCACCTATTGCTTTCTTGGTGTCACTGAAGTAGCATAAACCTGGTGAAATCCTGTTTTATATAAGAGTACTTACGCTTCACACATACATGTGCCACTGCTGGTACACTCTGAATCTGTGTCCATATTCTTCAAGTCACTGTGTCTTCTTAACTTCTGGCATGAAC